GACAAAATGAACATACTCCAATTTTTGGGGTAAAGTTCAGTTGAGTCTTAAACTACGGGCTCTTCCCGCTTGTAAATTCCATTCAAATTCCAATTCCGGACCTCTGTTTCTTCCATTCCTCTGTTTTTGCGTTGTATCACCTTTCTTCGCAAGATTTTCGACCTAATCCCTCTTCTTCATCTTCTTCTTTTTCTTCAACATTTCGCCGATTGAAATCTAATTTTCAATTTGTTTCCAAGATGGTGAGTTATATTAAGAAGAAAGATGGGGAGAAAATTCTCTCAGTTCAGTTCACAAAGCTGGAAATCAACGATTCTGAAGGAGAAGACCCCGCGTTGAACTGGAAATTACCGGCCGGAATGGAGGTGGTGAGAGTTGAGGAGACTGAATGCAGAACTCCGATAGCTAAGGAGGCGAAGATACAGGAACCGGAAACGTGCCCGCCGGCCCCGATGAAGCGCAAGGTCTGTTTGTTTGGCAACGGGAATGAGCCTGAGAAAATTGCGGATGTGAAGTAGATGTTCTCAGCACAATTTGGTTGTTAACGGGTTAGACTTCTAAAATCTTAATCTAGGAAAAAGATCAGAGTTTGGTGATGTATTAGGTAGAAAATCGTAATTGGGGATTGTATTTTGAGTGCAATAGCCAGAAAGATAAATAGAAGACTAATCATTCGTTGGTATGGTGCAAAGAATTCGTTTCTAAAGAATTTGAGTTTTATGGATGGATTCGAGTTTTATAAATAGAAAAATAACAATTGAAAAGTTTTTTTTATAATGGATATGATGTAATTTAATTTTAAATTAATCGAAACTCGATATTATTGTTGGATATAAGAAATTAATAGAAAAAAAAGATAAATAGCTAGTGGATTTATCTAATTATGTGTTTTTGTTTTTGGAGTGTAATTAATATATATTTTTATATTAATTAATATAAAAATAATAAAATTTGATATTAATTTTATTTTTAATAATTATGGGACTAAAAAATACATAAAAAATTGATGAACAAAAATTATGCAAAACTTTAAAGCAAAAAGAACAAAAAGTTATTTATCAGGATGTGGGAAAGCACGATGTCTGTCAACTAGCAAGAAAGAATTGATTGAGGTATTACATACTCTGTGTTCCTCCATTGAATTGCTCTTATATTTCGAATGTCAAAGTTTGGCCGAACTGTAAGACATGCTATCTGTCAATAGAGAAGATGAACTGAATATATAATTAAAAAAAAAAAAACAAAAAACAAAAAACGAAAAGGAAATGTTGCTTCATTTATAATCAAGATATGAGTTCTCTCAAATAAAAACTATGAAATCTAAATATAAGAAACTTGGGTTTTGCTACCTTCTTATCTCTCTCATCACTCCCTTCTTCTTGTTTTCTCTAACAAATTTGAGTCTCAGTCCCTTCCTATCTCTTTTGTCACTCCCTTCTTCCTTTCTCTCACTTCATTTAACTCATTTTGTTTACCATTTTACCCTTCAAACAATATGGAAGAGACTCTAATAGTGTTTTTTGTAATTTTTTTTGTTGGTTTGGGGTAATTTGATCTTAAAGGCAAGTAATATATATCTATGTCTATAATTTTTTGTTCATTTGGTGACAATTTGGCCTTTAAAATTGTCTATACATGTAAAAAGAAACAAAAGGGTTTCCAATTTTGTAATTTTCACAATGATGTGGGGATTGAGGTGGTGTCTTCTCAGTAAAAAGAAAAGTTGACTTAAGAGTAAAAGAGGTTTGAATGTTGAACTTGATCTTTCCTTTTTGGTGTTTCAAGCATGACAATCAATTTCATATTGTATTGGTTGGCACGGTCAGTATGTATTCGTTTTTTGTATTGATCGAAATGGTATAATATGAAAATCCATTTTAGTCAACATTCGATTAATTTGGTTAAAATTCGGTGCACTAGGTCAAATTTCGATGTATCAGCCAGTACACCGAATTTTGACCGGTACACATTATGGCAAATTAAAAATAATAATATTAAAGGGATTCCCTAACCCAAAACGATGTCGTTTTGGACTAGGGGCGTCTTAATCTTAATTATCCTACAATTACAATTTCAGATTACACAGTATTGTCGATATACAAAAATTGTTTCGTACAACTCAATTCAAATTTAAAAAGAGTAAATTCCATTTTAGAT